CACGGGTCGTGTGGGAGTATAAGCACTCAAGCGACTGTCCCACGGGTCTTGTGGGAGTACAAGCACTCAAGCGACTGTCCCACGGGTCGTGTGGGAGTACAAGCACTCATGCGACTGTCCCACGGGTCTTGTGGGAGTACAAGCACTCAAGCGACTGTCCCACGGGTCGTGTGGGAGTACAAGCACTCAAGCGACTGTCCCACGGGTCTTGTGGGAGTACAAGCACTCAAGCGACTGTCCCACGGGTCTTGTGGGAGTACAAGCACTCAAGCGATCGTCCCACGGGTCTTGTGGGAGTACAAGCACTCAAGCGACTGTCCCACGGGTCTTGTGGGAGTACAAGCACTCAAGCGATCGTCCCACGGGTCTTGTGGGAGTACAAGCACTCAAGCGACTGTCCCACGGGTCGTGTGGGAGTACAAGCACTCAAGCGACTGTCCCACGGGTCGTGTGGGAGTACAAGCACTCAAGCGACTGTCCCACGGGTCTTGTGGGAGTACAAGCACTCAAGCGACTGTCCCACGGGTCTTGTGGGAGTACAAGCACTCAAGCGACTGTCCCACGGGTCTTGTGGGAGTACAAGCACTCAAGCGACTGTCCCACGGGTCGTGTGGGAGTACAAGCACTCAAGCGACTGTCCCACGGGTCTTGTGGGAGTACAAGCACTCAAGCGACTGTCCCACGGGTCGTGTGGGAGTACAAGCACTCAAGCGACTGTCCCACGGGTCTTGTGGGAGTACAAGCACTCAAGCGACTGTCCCACGGGTCGTGTGGGAGTATAAGCACTCAAGCGATTGTCCCACGGGTCGTGTGGGAGTATAAGCACTCAAGCGACTGTCCCACGGGTCTTGTGGGAGTACAAGCACTCAAGCGACTGTCCCACGGGTCTTGTGGGAGTACAAGCACTCAAGCGACTGTCCCACGGGTCGTGTGGGAGTATAAGCACTCAAGCGACTGTCCCACGGGTCGTGTGGGAGTACAAGCACTCAAGCGACTGTCCCACGGGTCATGTGGGAGTACAAGCACTCAAGCGATCGTCCCACGGGTCATGTGGGAGTACAAGCACTCAAGCGACCATCCCGTGCCAACACACACAGTTTGATCTCTCACTAAGGTTCGCGCTAGCCATAAAAAAAAAATCCTACCCAGATCTGAGACAGAATGACCCTAAAGTTGACGTTTAAAAGGCTATTGAACTTGAGTTGAACTTGAGTTGAATTTACGGATATTGAACTTGCTATTGAACCAAAGTTTTCCCAGCACTGAACACCTCAGTTGTAGGACGGTTGGCCTTCAGTGTTGAGCATGGATGTTACATCCACGTGTGTGTGTCGACCATGGATGCTTTATCCACGTGTGTGTCGACCATGGATGCTTTATCCACGTGTGTGTCGACCATGGATGCTTTATCCACGTGTGTGTGTCGACCATGGATGCTTTATCCACGTGTGTGTGTCGACCATGGATGTTTTATCCACGTGTGTGTCGACCATGGATGTTTTATCCACGTGTGTGTGTCGACCATGGATGTTTTATCCACGTGTGTGTGTCGACCATGGATGCTTTACCCACGTGTGTGTGTCGACCATGGATGCTTTACCCACGTGTGTGTGTCGACCATGGATGCTTTACCCACGTGTGTGTGTCGACCATGGATGCTTTACCCACGTGTCAGCTACTAATGCTTCACCTTTGTTTACAAGTGTCATTTCAGTAAACTACTAACAGCTCGAACAGGGAGCTTTGGAGCTGAAATTCGACGCAATTGGTACATCGATTTTTGTACACACACACACACACACACACACACACACACACACACACACACACACACACACACACACACACACACACACACACACACACACTCCATACTAATACTAAACCCTTATTACACATACACAGCAAACACAACGCACCACATTAATACACAAACACCTGCACAACACACACACACACACACACACACACTCCCCACCCTCCTTCCCTTCTGAAAAATGTTTTTTGTTGACAACTGGCTTGCTTCCCATTCTTTCTCACCCATCCTCTTTACTTCCCTTCCCACTGGCACTCCTGTTGACACTGGCACTCCTGTTGACACTGCCACGGCTCCTGTTGACACTGGCACGGCTCCTGTTGACACTGGCACGGCTCCTGTTGACACTGGCACGGCTCCTGTTGACACTGCCACTCCGGTTGACACTGCCACTCCGGTTGACACTGCCACTCCGGTTGACACTGCCACTCCGGTTGACACTGCCACTCCGGTTGACACTGCCACTCCGGTTGACACTGCCACTCCGGTTGACACTGCCACTCCGGTTGACACTGCCACTCCGGTTGACTCTGTCCATGGAGGACAGAAGAAAATGTATATGTGGTGGTTAGCATTGTAAATGTGTGGCGACTTCTGTGTTAGAAAATAATAATAATAACAATACTCCTGTTGACAGTGCCACTGGCACTGCTGTTGACACTAGTGAACAATAAGACAGTCCTCGCAGTACTTATTCTTCAGTGACTACGGGGGAGCGAGATGCAGCTCTAGGGCCCCACCTCATATCTTGTTATGTCTGGTCTACTAGTTACTGCTCTCACTGTTAAAGTTTCCATCATATTTCTCTTTAACGTTGTGGATGGAAATGACTTCATTAACTTCCTTCAATGCATTCATCTTGCTGACCATTCATACGGGGAACGAAAACTTCCTAACATTTCTTTGACTCAACTGAAAGACCAGCTTCTAGTAATGCCCTCTTGTCCTACTGTTTTTTTTATTTCAGTAACCTTCCATTACCCAGAAGCTATTCCCCTCGAGATCTTGTATGTCGTTATCATATTCACTCCGTTTCTCCTTTCCTCTAATGGCTTGGGGCTTTCCCCTGACAGTTCCCTTCCTTTCCTTTCCTCAAAGGCTGTGAGGTTAAGTTCTCACAATTTGTCCTCATAGCTGAGGCTTTTCTATTCTAGTGCTAATCTAGTTGCAAACATCTTAACTTTCTCAAGTTTCTGTTCATGCTTCGCAAGGTGTTGGTTCAATGCTGGAGCTGCATAGTCAAGTAATGCTCTGACATAGCTAGCGTGTATGGACTTAAAAGCCTTCTATTTACATTCTTAAATGATGTTCTTATGTTTGCTAACTTCCCATGTGCTGCTGATATTATTGTGTTCCCACACGTTTCCAGTTTAGTGTTGGGATTATGTCTACTCCCAGGTCTTCTCTCTCTCTCTTATTACTTCTTGAAATTCTTTTTATCTTATGGTACAGTTAAATACAGATCTCCTCACTATTTCATTGCTTTACACGTATTTGGATTGAATTCCAGCAGCCATATGTGTGTCCACTCCCAAAGTTTGTTAAGGTGTTCTTACAACACCCAACAGTCCTCTTCAGTTCTTTCTCTCCTCATTAACTTTGCATCATTTTCAAATTGTGACACGTACAAGCTCACTCCCTCTGAGGTCATTTACAGAAATTAAAAAAAACAAAAAGAGCAGTGGTCCTAGAAGAGCCCTGTGAGACACTTTTTCACACCCCTCCAGCCTGACACATACTCTCTAACTATGACCCATTGATTTCTGTCCGTCAAGTACTCCCTTACCCAATACGGTGCCTTTCCTGTTATCCCCACTCCCCACTTCTCTCTCCATCTTGTGTATTGGTATTGTGTGGAACTTTTTTGTTTCACACAAGAGCTCTTACATTCTCGTACAGCCACTAGCACACACAGCATTTCGGGCAGGTCCTCAATCCTCTGTTCCTTGGAATACGACCCCCAAATCGTTTAACAACCAGGTACCCATTTTACTGTTGGGTAAACAAGAGGCTACAGTTAAGGACTGACACCCAGTAAATCCTCCCCGGCCAGGAAACGAACCCAGGACAAAGCACTCGCAAAATGCAAGGTGTCTTACCACTACACCGCAGGGACTGCTAATCTTAATTTTGTTCAAAAGCTTTTTTGTAGCCTACCCATCCTTCCTTTTCTTTGACTTATTTTGGTGACCTATCATAGAATTCAATCAGTTCTGTTAAACGTGATTTTCCATCTCTGAACCATGCTGTGCCTGTTATAAAATTTACTCCCAAAATGTTCTACAATCCTTTTTCTGATGATTCATAGAATGCAAGTTAATGATACTGGTCTATAGTTTAGGGCTTCATGTCCCTCCCCTTTCTTGAATACTGGAGCTATATTTGTCTTTTTCCAGATTTCTGGCAGCTCTCCTATATCAAGTGTAATGTTGAACATTAGTTAATGGGTAACAAGATCCCTGCAGCTTCATTCAGAAACCATGGTGATATTTAATCTGGTCTTGCTGCTTACATTACATACAGTTCCTACAGATATCTTCTTAGCACTTCATTATCTTCAGTTCTGTCTGGTGTTGTTTCTGGTCATCTGTTGTCACTCCTAAATGAACAGGAAAATGGTTCTGGTTTGAAGTCCTCCAGGAACCTCATGTTGAGTTCTTCACACTCTTCTTACTCATTTTCCAAAAGTGCTCTTCCCTGTTCCTGCAGTGTAATTACATGCTCTTGTACTGTTGTTTCCCTCCAAATATGGCTGGGCAACAGCTTAGGTTAGATCTTTGCCTTCGCAGCAATATCACTCTCAAACTGCTGCTCTCCGGTATCTTGGGTACTCATCCCTCACCATCATTGTGCTTCTGTACTCTTACCCTTGTACTTTTCCATAATTTTCTGTCATCTCCTTTTCCTCTTTAAAATTGCATACAATCAGTTTGCAATTTCTGCAACCATCCATTTAAAATTGCAAACCATCGGTTTGCAATTGTCCTTTCATCCACTTCCCTCCTGGGAGGTATGAACTGTTCCATCGTTTCTTTGCATTTCTGTGTTATGGGGTCTATCACCTCATTTGCCGACTTTCCTTCCATTTCAGTTCTCCTACTGAACAGCAACAAACAGTTCAAGTTAATACTGTAGAAACACATTGTTTCAGTGTAAATATCACAAAATATTAAGCAAAACTATGTTAACTTTATATAACTTTATTACATGAAAATACAAATACTCATCTGAACAATATAGAAATCAACTGTTATCACATTTGTTACATTTACCTCTAGCTAACCTTGGCAAAGTCCACCATAAACAAACCCAGTAATAAATTCTGATTTCTCACTAATCACAATACTGTACATCATCTTCAAGTCATGCTACCTTTCACAATGCCGTCCATTTAAGCAACATGTCATAAGCATTTAAATACAATGTACATATCAACTTGAGAATGGTCCAGGACGGGCCAAAACGTTGTCGTCCCTTCACCTTCTAGTGTGTGGTCTGGTCAACAATGTACATAGATTTTTTGATAAACAATGGCATAAGTCAACTGCTAAAGTGGCCTTTTGTACCCAGGAAATACAGGTACACAACCCAGGTGGCTCCGAGGACAAGACAGTGAGTTAGTTAGGCAACCTTCACTTCACATTTTATAAAACAGGCAAATGATTATGGCAAATAATTTACAGAATCTTCATTGAAATGTTACTGTACCAAAAAGAAATACCTGCAATATCCGAGATGACCAATTGTCTGGTGAACTTTGCTAAAAGTTTGCAACTTCTCATAAATAGGAATACAATAATCAACTCTGCATTCAGTATCATTTATCTGAAAACGTTGAAGTGAACAAATTTAATGTTTATTGCTTGTAAGGGTTCAATGTGTATATTGTTTTTAACTAGTAGAACCATTTTTAGACATAAAATGGGTATTATAAGCATAAATTGTATCTATACAGCCCAAATCTTAACATTCAAAATATCTGGGCTTAAATTTGCACTTTTTGAAAACTAAAAAAAAAAAAAAAAAAAAGTAAAACTTTAGCAATCCACATTTCCTTAACAGTACTTCCTGTAAATGAGTTAAAAGAACATAAAAGCAAGTTTAAATTAAACCCAAGGAAAGGTAATTATCAAAAGAAGGCACCAAACCGGGAAGGCTATGTAAATTAAACCCAAATTGTTGTGTAAAATGAATCTTTTGGAAGCCAGTTCTGATAGGCTTTCTGAAGACAAGATTTTTCCTTCTATATTATTATACTGTACATAATAAATATATATACATACATATATATACACATATAAATATATGCATACATACATATGAATACTGTACTTACTTTTGAGGGTCCCTTCAAACAACCAGTGGTGGGTAACCCCCCTGACTCTGGTGAGGCCACTCCAGACCAGGCCAACACCAGAGCGCAACTCCATAGTCTCCCGAGACTGATGGATGCCTACTACTACTTACATAAACAAGGAAAGGGGGGGGGGGGGGGTACCCACCACTGGTTGTTTGAAGGGACCCTCAAGCCTCGAAGAAGATATGAGATACCCGGGGGAGCCTTGTTGGGCTCCCACGTGTGCTGGCACATATTGTCTTCTCTTGTATATTCGTGCGTGTGTGTGTAATTACCTGAGTGTAGTTACAGGATGAGAGTTACGCGCGTGGTGTCCCGTCTTCAACACTCTTTGACATACAACGCTTTGTGTGTGTGTGTGTATATGTATATGTATGTGTATATTATATATATATATATATATATATATGTATGTGTATATTATATATATATATATATATATATATATATATATATATATATATATATATATATATATATATATATATATATATATATATATATATATATATATGTCGTACCTAATAGCCAGAACTCACTTCTCAGCCTACTATGCAAGGCCCGATTTGCCTAATAAGCCAAGTTTTACTGAATTAATATATTTTCTCTAATTTTTTCTTATGAAATGATAAAGCTACCCATTTCATTATGTATGAGGTCATTTTTTTTTATTGGAGTTAAAATTAACGTAGATATATGACCGAACCTAACCAACCCTACCTAACCTAACCTAACCTATCTTTATAGGTTAGGTAACCTAACCTATCTTTATAGGTTAGGTTAGGTTAGGTAGCTGAAAACGTTAGGTTAGGTTAGGTAGGTTAGGTAGTCGAAAAAACATTAATTCAGTAAAACTAGGCTTATTAGGCAAATCGGGTCTTGCATAGTAGGCTGAGAAGTGAGTTCTGGCTACTAGGTACGACATATATATATATATTATGTCGTACCTAGTAGCCAGAACGCACTTCTCAGCCTACTACGCAAGGCCCGATTTGCCTAATAAGCCAAGTTTTCCCAAATTAATATATTTTCTCTAATTTTTTTCTTATGAAATGATACAGCTACCCATTTCATTATGTATGAGGTCAATTTTATTTTATTGGAGTTAAAATTAACGTAGATATATGACCGAACCTAACCAACCCTACCTAACCTAACCTAACCTAACCTATCTTTATAGGTTAGGTTAGGTTAGGTTAGGTAGCCGAAAAAGTTAGGTTAGGTTAGGTAGGTTAGGTTGTCGAAAAACAATTAATTCATGAAAACTTGGCTTATTAGGCAAATCGGGCCTTGCATAGTAGGCTGAGAAGTGCGTTCTGGCTACTAGGTACGACATATATATATATATATATATATATATATATATATATATATATATATATATATATATATATATATATATATATATATATATATATATGTCGTACCTAGTAGCCAGAACGCACTTCTCAGCCTACTATGCAAGGCCCGATTTGCCTAATAAGCTAAGTTTTCCTGAATTAATATATTTTCTCTAATTTTTTTCTTATGAAATGATAAAGCTACCCATTTCATTATGTATGATGTTAATTTTATTTTATTGGAGTTAAAATTGACATAGATATATGACCGAACCTAACCAACCCTACCTAACCTAACCTAATCTATCTTTATAGGTTAGGTTAGGTTAGGTAGTCGAAAAAGGTAGGTTAGGTTAGGTTAGGTAGGTTAGGTTGTCGAAAAACAATTAATTCATGAAAACTTGGCTTATTAGGCAAATCGGGCCTTGAATAGTAGGCTGAGAAGTGCGTTCTGGCTACTAGGTACGACATATATATATATATTGAACAGAACGCACTACTCGACCTACTATGCAAGGCTCAATTTGCCTAATAGGCTGAGTGATGTTTGTTATTTAAAAAAAAAATCCAATTGGTTTATTTGAATTAATATTATATTAAGAACATGAATTACTGACTTGGTTATGTTAGTTAAGGTTAGGTTAAGATAGGTTAGGTTTGGTCATATTTCTACGTTAATTTTAACTCAAATTAAAAAAAATGAAATCATATACAGTACAGTATAATGAAATGGAAAGCTTTATTATTTCATAAGAAAAAAATTAGAAAAATGCACAACTTCAGGAAAACTTGACTTATTAGGCAAATTGGGCTTTGCATAGCAGACACAGTAGTGCATTCTAGCTATTAGGTAACACATACAGTATATGTATATGTATGTATGTATGTACGTACAGAGGAACCTCGTGTGACGAGCAGCCCCATTTACAAGCATTTCAGATAACGAGCGAGCTACTATACTCGCAGAAAATTTGTCTCGATTGACGAGCTTCCGCTTGATTAAGGAGAAAACCACGTGGTGCTTCCTAGCTTTCTCGCTGGTTTTCGCAAATTCTCGGACGCCTACGACGACAGTGTTGTTGTTTTATTGCGCAGGACAAGCATCCCTCTGCATTTATTTATGCTTTTCTTTGTTGTTTTTTGTGGTTTTGTGACTACAATTTGTAACTCATGATGTTGCCAAAAAAGCTGCTTGCTAAAGATAGTGTTATCAAGAGGACAAAAGACACAATTACTGTAGATTTGAAGAGGGAAATCTCCTGACTCAGGGGTGGATTCTCCTTCCACACTGTAACCCCTCTCCTTCTCCCCATAGTCTCCCTCAAGCCAGCAACGACTCTTCATACGGTAAAGTATAATTGAAAACAAAAAACAAATAATTTATAATAATTACATGTATTATAATTGCATTATAAAATTTCATATTGATGTTTTTTGGGGGGGAACGGATTAATTTTATTTCCATTATTTTAAATGGGGAAATTCATTTCGCAAGACGAGCATTTCACATGACAAGCTTGGTGCCGGAATGGACTAAGTTTGTTAATCGAGGCTCCTCTGCATACGTGTGTGTGTGTTTACTATGCTGGCAGAGTCGAGCTATTAGCTCTTGGACCCCGTCTTTCTAACCAGTCTATTTTTTCCTCTATTACAGTATATCTACTACATATATTTCTCTCTAACACATGCGCACACATCCCAAGGAAGCAACCCATATGTGGGCTGTATATGTGAGTGTGCACACGCTCACACAATACTAGCTGAATCAGTTATTTATTATCTTGTTGCAGTAGTGACTAGGTCTAAAAAATAAGTGCATACAGCTTTCCGAGCTGAATGTTTGACAGACTAGCCACAAATGACTAAGCATCTCCAGACTGAGTACACATGAACACTGTACAGATGTGTGTAAAACAGCTCTTCCGAATTATAAACACTGGAGTTCCAATTTTAAAGTTGAATCACCAATTTAAGGACTCCTGATCTTATTGATAAAGTATTAACATAATACTGACCTTACTGATGAATCATATATACAGTATAAGCAATCTTGATATTAATGGTAACTCATCAAAACATAAGGCTCCTAAATTAAATAATTATAACAGTACAGTATCAGAAAGTATAAATGGCTACAGACAGAGCCTTGAAAAAAAAAGTATTGCAGACCAAAGCAGTGACCAAGAACCTTGGCAGAGCTACTTTATTTGGGTTAGGTGCCGAGATTTCTTTGGCGCCGTTCCCCAAGTTGTCTGGTGCTGTCTTCCTTCTCTAGCCTCCTCATTCTCCTCCAGAGACAACTTGGTCTTTGAATTGGGTTTTGGTCTTTCTTTCGTTCCCTCAGTTTTTGGTCACCCCTTTGGTCTGTGATACATTGTTCGAAGCTCTGTTTTTGTTGGTTCTTGTTTCCGTTTGTTGGGTTGGCGAGTTTCATGCTCCCCTCCAGGAACAGGGATTCTGTTCATTCGGCTGCAGTGAGCAATTTCTTTGTCTGCAGCATTTTCCTCTTCTAGTAATAAAAAATGACTGGCTTCTGGTTGGCTTCTGGAGGAGACCTTTAATTATACCGATTCATGGTTTGTTCGGCAGGGGTGCAGCACTTGTGACTGGTTGCTGCTATTCGTTGCCAACTGTTGACCCCCCAAACTGCTTCGTGGAAACACGTTTGTTGATCCTGTTTCCATGGCTCCCTGTTGCAAGGCTGATCTTTCTAAGAATGCCCACAGTGCCATTAAACCTAGCCAGCCTGTAGTCTACCTTTGAGCCCATGATATTTGGAAGTTTACAGCTCTGATCAGTCATTTGTAATATGTCTTGGACATATTAGAAAAGACTGTGGCTAAAGCCGCAAACTTTCGAACAGCATAGACCTGGGGATAGACTGCTGGCTGGAACAATGGACACTGGACAACCTGAGAAAAATTACCCTTGAAATGAGGAAACGGGTCAACAAACAATGCAGCCCATGAAACCTACAGGGGTAGCATGGTAGAAACAACACACAGCTGCATCCAGTCACAGTATATGATGTACCCCCCAGCAAAACAGACCATGAAACAACAACCAAAGGACCCCCTCCAGAAGCCAACTGTCTCATTCTTTGATAGAAATGAAAGAGAAGGCTACAAAGAAACTGCCCACTAGGGAACATAACTGCCAAAGGGGCAACCAAGGGAGCGACAGAAAGACCAATACACGATTCAGAGACCAAGATGGCTCAGGAGGAGAGTGGTCAGGTCAGAGGTGAAAAATGCACAAGACAATGTGCCATTTATGTGAAATTTGCAGTTATTTGTTTTGTTTTGCTTACTTTCTGGAAGCATCCTTGGTGAGTGATCATAATACTGCACTCCCCTGCTTCCTGCACCTCTTTGTGGACCAGGTTCTGATTCTGGTCTCTAGGAAGACCTTAAGGACTACTGGGACTTATATGATTGATATATGTAATGTTATGTTGGTGCAGCTGGCTAGTGGAGCCACCATTCGTTCCCTCCAAAAAAGAACTCTGAAGGAGGCACTAAGCATGAGAATGCAAAGGAAAACAAAGAGGTGGTGGCTTGTGTGTGTAAATAGGTAGCAGCAGCAGTAGTATTTGAGGTACAGTATCACTAGCAAGAATCTGGAAATGGTTCCTGGAACTCGGGATTAGAAGGAGACTTAGCCTGGAAGTCAGAATGGGCAGAACATGCATAGGACACATCCTAGAAAATCCCAGGTGTTGTAGTTGGCACCTCATCTCCGAGAAGGGGATTTTATTCTATTCTCTCGTAGGACCAAGAAAATGCAGGATGGGCATTGCCACAATTAAATGCCTCAAATAGGGAGGGATTCACAAGCATCCTTCACATGCCCAGAATTGCTACTTGGGACAAAAGAAGACCTTGCTATGACACTGCAGTGTCAAGGCCAAAATTCCAGCACGTACTGCACTGGTAGGGGAGGTCATATACTCCTGAGGACATTTGACACCACCAAGGATAATGAATGTGAGGAGGCAGTGTCAAAAGTAACTTTTGCTATCCAGGGTCAATTATGCCTACCACTATGAGACGAGTAAATGTGTTCACAAAGAGGTATTCTGGGCCTCTTAAAATTAACTTGAAAGATTTCATGGAAATTCCTGAAATCTCTGCTAACAATAGTGACAGACTGATAGACTGTATAGACTAAATGATAAGTGCAAGATTGCTGGTGATGGGAAGTATTACCCACACCAAGGAACTACCCTAAGCTGTGATGGAGGTGATCATCAGTAATCCCCAGTCTGTCAAATGAAAATAAACATATTTGGCCCAATTTTGAGGGGGTGGGAGGGAAACACTGGTATTGACACAAGTGCAGTCATGATGTCAAGGTCCCCCTGATAGTGAGAGGAGCATACATCATTGACCTAACAATCAGCAAAGGAGAACCACTGTTAAACAAGCTGACTACCCCATGGCAATGTAGTAAATGCCACTACTATGGAGGAAGCAGGGGAATGAAGAGAATTAGAAGCAGCAGTCATGGCTGAATAAGAGCAAAGGCCTAACAGAGTAGGAGCTATGGAGCCAGCATGGTGCACCCTCGTGGGAGAGGGTAGCTAATCTTCCAGGTCAATCCGACTCGAAGGCGTGGCTGCCAACCACACGAGTCCGAAGGAAGAGAGAAGTTTAACAAAAGGGAGCATACAACAAAATAAGACCCCCACTTTCCTGCACCCCTACCTACCATGAAGCCATCAAAGGGGGGTTATAAGCATGTAGGCATCCCAGGAGTAAAATGGAGAGTATTCACAGATAACCAGTGGAGGTCTGAATGCCGGTTCAAGGGACTGATACCAACCCTCCAATATCCACTTGATCCAAGTCTGACTAGGCCTGCCAGCCAGAGTTGCCGAATGATTCTGTCGTGCTTCACTGAACTTCCCATTTTATTGCTCTCCTCTACCAAAGAGTGTGTTGCCCCCCCCCCCAGGAGTCAGTTACTACTGTATGCAGGCTTATTGTCTAGATGAAAAGGAATAGAGAATATACAGGTTTCCATACACTGCAAACACATAGGTGCCAAAATGACAGGGTATATTTCACTTGTGCACCATTGCAGTAGGCAGGAGAGGAACAAAAGGTACCCTCACTTGCCCGAGGGCAGTGCACAAAAGCCTCCCCTTACCATGGTGGCATACCCATGTGAAGGAGAATTATAACATTCATAGTAAACTTTCAAAAGGACAGTCACTCTTACCTAAAGGAGGGAGGTCAAAGACCTCTTATTTCTGAGTAAGTAGTAAATCCAGCATTGAAGGAACATCCCTTTCCATCATTCTTGTGGCCTGTTAATGTGCTGATACATGAAAGTCTCCAGGACGAGGTTTACAAATCTGTCAGTCCAATGTCATCCGTCCCTGCTTCATAGGCCACCAAGTCTAATGATTTACAAATAAAATTAAGTACCATCAATCATAATTTATTATTATCTACTCTTACTATAACGTCTCTCCTGATCATTATAAGAGCTCGTTTGTAATCTAGTTCTATGCTGGTGAATTGCAGGCAGTAATGATTATCAGATTGTCTACTCAAGTAGAGATCTCCAGTACCATAATGTCAACATTTCTTCAATGAACTTCACAAGCTAGGTCAACATGGATTTAGAGCGGGAAGATTTTGTCTTTCACAGTTACTCAACCACTATGACAAATCCACAGAAGCATCAAAATAAAAACAAAATGCAGATGTTATATACACAGACTTTGCAAAGGCTTTTGATGTGTGACCATGGAGTGATAACCCATTAAATGCGATCAATAGGAATAATGGATACAGTGGGACGATGGATTTTCAACTTTTTGCCAAACAGAATGCAAAGAGTAATAGTCAAATAAGATCAAGTCAAAGTGCAGTGAAAAGCTCTCTACTCCAAGGTACAGTCCTTCTACCACTGCTCTCTCATTCTTGTCTCGGACAGAGACAAAAATACTAGTCACGGCTTCATGTCATCCTTTGCAGATGATACAAAAATCAGCATAAAAATTTCCCGTAGAAGAAAATGAAAAATTTCAAGCCGATACTAATAAAGACTTCAACTAGGCAATAGAAAATAACATGTTTAACAGAGAGAAGTTTCTGGTACTTAGGTATGGTGGAAATGAGAAACTTAAATGAAATACTGGGTTCAGGACAAACTTAATCACAGAAGGAAATTACACATAAAAGATCTGGATATTATGATGGCTAATGACTGGACAAGTCTGACAGGTCAGGTCTGACGACCTGACCTGACCTGACCTGACATTTAGTGAACATAACCGAGCAAATATAGCAGCAATGTTAATCCAGATCCCGATCCCAAAGCAATGTTAATACTAATTATATCACTGGTGCCCTCTCATCTTGAGTACTGCTCAGTACTCACTTCTCTTTTCAGAGCAGGAGAAATTGCTGAAATAGAGGGAACACACAGAACCTATATGACAAGCATACACACAATAAAACCCCTAAATTATTAGATCTGTCTCAAAGCTCTCAAAATGTACTCTGGAAAGGAGACAAGAGAGGTATCAAATACTACATACAAGCAAGATACTGGGAGGTCATGTCCCAAATTTGTACAGTAGAATAACATACAGGAGCAAAAGATACCGAAGCAAATGTAGTGAACTAGTGAAGAATAGAGATGCCATAGGCACAGAAAGCACTGTCTGAACATCAGAGGTCTGTGGCTGTTCAACACCCTCTCAGCAAGCATTAAAAATATTGCCAGAACAAAGGTGGATGTGCGGGCGATGAGTCACAATAACGTGGCTAAAGTATGTTGACCAGACCACACACTAGAAGGTGAAGTCGACTTGAGAATGGTCCAGGGCGGACCGAAACGTCGTCGTCCCTTCACCTTCTAGTGTGTGGTCTAGTCATCAAAGGTGGATGTCTTCAAGAAGCATTTAGATAAGTTCTTGCAAGAAGTGCTGAACCAAATGGGTTTTTCCTTTTTCACACCTGCTGATAATTCTGTAATCACAAACATTATCTTTGGTTGCGAGGTTTTCTACCAACCCAATAAACTTCACAGGTATCATAGGATGGAGAATGAAGCTGTGGAGATATCTACACGAGATGCGTGAAGTTACAGCCAACAAGATTAAAACATTTTGTGTGTGTGTGTGTGTGTGTGTGTGTGTGTGTGTGTGTGTGTGTACTCACCTATTTGTGCTTGCGGGGGTTGAGCTTTGGCTCTTTGTGTGTGTGTGTGTGTGTGTGTGTGTGTGTGTGTGTGTGTGTGTGTGTGTGTGTGTGTGTGTGTGTGTGTGTGTGTGTGTGTTCATGTAAACATGTGCATGTGAATGCACATACATGTACAAATAATTCCATAACCAATTAATTTTAAGAATTAACATTCCCCAAAATACACGAAAACTTTATATAAATTTGTTAGAATTCCTATAATGTATTACTAAATGAAACTATGAGTCTGAGCTAGCAGATGGATCTCTGTAGCTCTCTGATGTTTTGAGAGTCAGTCTAGAAGAGGGATTATCTGTGTCTGATGTAGAAGGTTGCACCGGTGGTAAAGCTGAAGAGGAGGAGTTTTTCAATGATGAAGAAGTCGAAGCTTGTGAAGGAGAAGTGGAGAGTTCTGGTGAGATATCAACTAAGCAATAATGAGAGCTTGGGGAAGAACTGCCATCAGAACTATCAGAGGAAGAAGCTGAATAGGTTCTGTGATAAACGGGTCGACTGCAAAACTTTTTATACAGTTGTCTGTCTTGCGAGTCATCTTTGTAGGGGTGTTTCATGCCACTTGTGGACCATTTTGGTTCTTCATTTTCATTATCTCCATCCTTTAATGCAACAGAACGTAAGAGTGGCCAGAAGTTGTTTGCCACGAAGGAGCGCAGGCCAGGTGGCAGTGGCAGGTTCTCAGGACGCACTTTCATCTTCTCACGCACATGTTTGAACACAACTTCAGAGGCCAGAAACTGAAGATTAGACGGAAAGTCACAGCTGGTAACCAATTTCATGCCAGAGTGGGCTGATGTTGAGGTGACAATTGGATATAGTTCTATATTCTGTAGTCCGGTGAAGGCTATACCTGCAAAATACAGTTTATTCAGATATGAAGGCAACTTTCTTGTATAGCATTTCTTAGATATTACTTAAACACTTCAAACTTCCTCTCCCCCCCCCACCCAAAAAAAAAAAAAAAATATTCAGGAGAGCTACCACGCTCAGAAGCCCAGAAAAAATGTACCGCAGAATGTTTCTGGAATGTAACTATATTTTTCCTATACAGTATTCAGTACATGTACTGTCCTAAGAATACAACCCCTACAAAAATTGTGAGCTTCTAGTACTGTATATACATTACATACATTATCATTACCACATTTCCCACTTTCATAAGGTGGGGAAGCAGTTCCCTACAGTGTACCAGAAAACCAAGTTTCATGGGATGAAAAAGTCCTATTTACAGTTACTTTCCGCAAGCAAACGAACATAGGACACATCCGTGGAAAATGGGAAGAGTTGTGGGTTAGGGCACCATGAATAGGCACAGTGTGGTTGCCTGGTGCTGGGTGGCTAGCAGGGAGTGAACACACTTTGTGGTCACCTGTAATGTAATGAGGAATTGGTATGGCTTTGAATCTTTAAGAATGGCAATGATTCTTGGTTGAACCAAGCTTTTTTCTTGTGCTTCTTTAGCACCTTTAATGATTGTGCAGTGACAACTGTGGCACCAGTGCCTACAGGTTCATCCGACTTGACTGCACGTGTCCCGTCTATCACACCAAATTCTTACCTTAGGGATCAACCAAGCGTGATAGCTAAGATAACAAAATCATAGACATTAAAATTTAAGAGGAAACTAAATAATTTAAGCACTATGCTTTAAAATATGACAATATCATACATTACCATATAAAAAATATCTAATTTTAGAGGCATTTTACATTAAATAATAACTAAGTCATTAGAGAACTCTTACCTTAAAATATTACTGAATTATACAAGAATTCCACAATAAAATATAAGTAGATCATACAAAAAGTCCAGGACTACACTATAGAAGGAACGAAGTGAGTATTGCAGGCGATGAGTCACAATAACGTGGCTAAAGTATGTTGACCAGACCACACACTAGAAGGTGAAGGGACGATGACGACTTGAGAATGGTCCAGGACGGACCGAAACGTCATCGTCCCTTCACCTTGAAGTGAGTATTGTATCTACTTCCACCACAGAACATCATGAATTATATAACTAAAGTCCATATAATCACTCGGATGTTTCTATTTACCTAAAGGCTTCCTGTTCAAAAAGAATTCGAGGGTTCCACGCCAGGAGTCGAGGTGAATGCCAACAATGCTTCCCTTGCCCCAACGGGGACCGTAGTGACGAAACTTGGCTGCGTGTCGGATAGTGCCTGCAATCACAACATGTATTTTATAAATCTCAAGTGTTCCAATTTTAACCCGCTGTTAAGTCTTCTAACTTAGTTTATATATTTAGAATCCTATTTACAGTACATCCACTTTATTAAGACCTTTTATTCACATGTACATTTCAATCATGTCCCCTCATATGCTTTTCCTTTATACTTAAAATTTAATTTGTTTACACTCTTAATTTGTAAGATTCCTAATAGCTGGGACTAACTTTGTCATCTTCTTTGTTTACACTCAATTTACATACACATTAATATGAGGTCAAAAACTGCATTGCATTATCCTAGAAGTCTTTTAAGGGCATGATGAAGTTCAAACATGTAATAACACATGTAGAAAAAACTTTCAGTGGTATGTATAAACACTTACACCAAATTCGTGGTACAGTAAGCGTAAATTTTTATGCTCCATTGGTATACAGTAACTTGAATAATCAGATGACCTGCATTCTCAGCAGTCAGGCTCTCACATTCTTATTTTATGAAATTTTTTGCAAGTTTTAAGATTGTGTTCTTGCATCATTGCGTATCCTAAGCATACTAGATTGCATATCTAGTCGCCCCTAAATCAACACAACAATAATAACTTAACAAAGCTATGCAGCAAGCCTAACCGAGACAAAGTTTCTCTGGAAGGATAGGCCAAGTGCTGTCAATTTTTTTGAAGGGCTGAAAAAGAGCCAAGATAATTTTGGTGTGTCCGAGTAATGAGAGAAAAAAGAGAGAAAGAGAGAGAAAAGAGGTGGTTATGTATTACTTCCATGCTCTTAGCTAGACATTGAAGCTAAACTAAGTAATGGACGGATAATGGACTAGATATGCAATGACAGACATGCTTCTATTGTAGAAATTGTTCAGCACTACTCTATGATCTTTGAAAGATTGACAAGAGTGAAATGACATTTGTAATAGAAGGTTTGTCCTTGTATTGCAGCTTTATACATGTCTGTATTAGCAGTTCTTGTTCTATGTTTTACTGTTAGTTAACAATATGCTGCCAAACACTCGTACAGAGCTCATCAAATATTTTAGGCACTTTATGTACATTCCTTATTAATCATAACAAGAAAGATGATGTTGCTCCCTTCCATACATGTAATTATACTGCTGCCCTTCACTAGGCAGAAAAGCAGATATGAACATTATTGTCTATCAGAATTCACTTAGTATACCTGTGTAAGAGTAGCCCCAGGACTCTTCATCGCGTCCAAGCAGAGAACAGAAACGGTGGATGCCATGCTTCAGGTCACACTTTGGCGTACAAACCCCAACCATCTGCAAAATTAGATACAGTGTAATGACATGCCAATTCTCAGTGGCACCTCAGTAGCTCCTTTTAGCTCACATCACCAGCACATTACGGACACAATGAATAAGCTAGGCTTTTATGACAATATTCACCCACTGGGGACAATAACCTTTTCAAAGCCACAAAAGCCATTAATCATGTATTGTAGTCACAAAACACTCGACCTCCCTTCCAAGAAATGTTCGCCAAGTACTGAATTGCTAAACAAATTCCTTAAATCAATTTCCTTCCTTATTAATCTATGTGGTAGAGGATACCATATAGTGAGCGAAAAACTTTGGAAAACTACTCAGATGTACAGTAATTAAAAAATATTTAACTGTTGAAGACATGTAAACAGCAAGTAAAACCTTCCAAAGCCTCACTCTCCTGTGTTTACCTGTGTGCATGTAAGCTATTTAAAGCAGAGAAGAGTATGCATCATAAATATTTGAAAAATTCTGTATTGGTTTGCCTTATCATTTCTCACTGTCTGGGATTGGGAGCCTATTAGGGTTATCGAGGTCTTCCCAGGGCACTTACTAAGGACCTTTCCCAGGACGCAACCCACAACAGTGCCCAACTCCTAGGTAACTATTTACTGCTAGGTGAACTGCAGCATCAGGTGAAAGGAAACATACCTAAGAGAGTCTGTCCCACCCAAGGATCAAAGTCAGGATCCTTGGGTGTGTGCCAAGAACATAAACCATTGCACTACAGGATCCATAAATTGTACTCCACTGTATTTCATCTAAATTAACTTGAAAGATGTTAAACTTACAATATCTGTCCCATATACAGCCGAGGTCATTTTCAGCTCCCAGTAATGATGGTGGCCAATATGAAGAGTTTCATTCCCTCGAATGGCTGCGGTCCCTGAACTGTATTCTGGGTTGAAGATAATCTGTCGGTCCTCAGTAGCAAGAAGAATGCTGCCAGCTTGGCCTCCTTGTTCACGTGTGCTCCACACCCAAGCAAAGTCTACAAAAATATAATACAATAGATATTTATTACTTCTTATGATTTACATGACATTACATTAAGTAAGAATGTCTAATATGAAGTCAGTGCCTGTGTGGTATTTAGTAAAGCATCTTAGTCCTATGTAGTATTATATATAAATTTGTGTAGCAAGCAAGAACAAGCTTTCAAATAGCTGCATTGAGATGCTTTGACAAGAGAGGCCTATTGCATAGAAGGAGAGAAGCATAGAGTGCCTTGATAAACAGCTCCAGATGCTCATCTACCAGTGCCACATTAAATACTGTGGTTGCCTTCCTTCACTTGAGCACCTGCAAACAAAAATACCGGGGCCAGTTCTTCAAGATACATAAGGTTTTGCCCAACATTGGCATTGCATGAAACAAAATTTTTGGAAAAAATGCCTCCATAATTTTGCCAGTTACGAAGGTGCTTCACCATGATGCCAAACATCACAAGAGAAAAACAAGGTTTAATAAAACTTGGCGACAGTCACTAAATCCTTCACCCCCCCTGACTGTAGTACGAGGAAGAAGGATTAAATGAAGACCCAAGTTCCTATACAACCAATGTCTAAATTTATCACCCTACAAACAGAAATTGCTAAACAACTTGGTAAACTAATGAGTTTTTAAGAACTGGGTCAAGATGTGACCTATTACAACACAAAATGATGTGCATCTCCACATATCAGTGAAGGAATGACTGGCTGGAACCATTTCATAAGCAAATACTGAAAACCGAGTTTGATAGACAAGAGAACTCTGTATGAAATGGTACGAGCTCCCTGAATTAAGCCACTGCTGCGGCCACAGTAACTCATAAGACTAAGAACAGGCCAAAACAATCAAGGAAACAAAAAAATCTAGTAACAATATACACTCAAAGATACAAAGATCCTTATAGTGAAAATAAGTCAAACTCAACTTAAATGTTAATCTCCATGAACTAACCAACATGAGAGTCAGGAAGTATGTAAGGTAGTCCAAGAATAGGAGCATGAAGATGTGTGGTGATGCTGCATGTTGAGATCAACGTACGTTTCCAAACGGGTGAACTGGAAGCCGCAGGGCTTCCTTGGCCGTCACTGACTACTTCTGACTCCTGCTAGTCAGGTTTAGAACTTTCCTTTACCATAACTCATGGCAAGTCTTTCCCTACTAGATTTTCCAGAACACAATCAGCCAATAGGTTAACAACTAGTTCCCCAATGACTGCTGGATGAAAAGGGGAAACAGTTAAGGAGTGTCAATCCTGTCTAATGGACACAGAGGATCTTACTTTAGTGAGCAATAGGAAGGGACAGCTAAAAAAAATAACAATCCCCTTCTTTATATGAATGAGACATGGTCAAGGTTTTCAGACATATTTGTTACTTAAAATCCATGCAACTGCTACCAAAAGATACCAACAAAGAAAGGTACAAATAGCAGACGTTACCTTCACCAACAGTTTTGTGTACTCCAAATGCTTGGAATGTTGTAATGGCAAATCAGTGACCGATCAACAGAAAGAAAAGTAAATAATCTCTAAACCACATCTGAAATTAAGGCAGAAACTAAGCCTTAATTTGAATAACTTATTTAAGTTTCATTAACCATAAGATTGCTGAAAGAATGCACCATAAGTAGTGTACACTTATCTGATTGCACAGCCATGTCTAATTTTCAGAGTAAGCAAAGTCTTTCCAATGTTTTGATAAAACAATACTGAATAACTGATATGCTCAACAAGACTTACCTTTATAATAATCATTCTTGGCAAGCATATAAGCTTTCTATTATAGTATAAATATTTTTGTGAGGGACCTTTAAGCACCCAACCCATTTCAAGACACTGAAAACATGCCAACTTGGCACCACTGAAATCAGCAGTATGAGGGCAGCAGCAGTCCTATCTACTGTCTCACTCGAGCTCTCCATCATGCCACTGCCAGACATCTTCATTGTTTAATGAAAGCTAGATGTTTACCTTCAATGCAAGGAGAAAATCCTGAAGCCTAATACCCTAAAAAGGGAAAGGCAGAAGGCTGTCTATTCCTGCATCAGTACTTAGCCCAAGAAACGCCATTTTAGCCAATCTGAAAAAGCGGAACAGTAAACAGTGGACAAGCCCCTTACAGAGGCCCTCCTGCAGGAGATATTATGTAATTTAGTCTGAACCAAGAATGGTAAATAGGGCAATCATGCTTCAAAAGAATCCAAGAGGTAAAAAATGTAAAGTTGAGAAGTTGAGAGAATACGTTATGTAAACCAGTTTAAAACTGTTTTGTTATAAGAATAATTAAGTTATTGGTGAATGTGGACAAAAATTATGTTACAGTAGTGGGGAACGGAAGTAGTTCTGTGTAAATGGTGAAGTACTAGAAGATATCAATCGGTTTATATATAGTACCTGAAATATGGGATTGACATTAAGGTAATTATGGGGGGAAAAGCTCTATGATGAAGGAACTCAAGAACAAGGTGCTGGAAATGAGGACGGAGTGAAGGAATGGCTCTCTACAACTTAAGCCATTGTGGATCGAACACCAATCCTACATGAAGTGAGACTGTAGTTGCACTCACCATTTCAAATCAATGAGGGAAGAGAAGGATTTGGGCAAAGTTTAGAAAATTGGATGTCAGAGAAATGGCTTGTCATTCTTGGCAAAATTGATATTTTCTTTAACAACTTGCAAACATTCTACACAGTTTAACCCTGCAGGGACATTTTTAAGTAAATCACATACCCTTGGTGGCAACAGAATGGGCAAGCACAAAGAAATTCCAGTGTGTTTCTTTGTAATCAAACACACTGAATTTTAGATGGAGAGCCAGAGTGAGACTATTTGTAGGGCTTTTGATTTGAAACAGGTCATTGCAGGTGTAACTGCCCTCCTCAACAAGACAGCATCACAGATGGTTCTTGAAAGATTGAAGATCACCACTGCTGGGGCAATACATGACCATTGCAGGAATTAAAGCACAACTTTTATGCTTCTAAGAGCAGCAGCCATGGAAAGAGCAGCAAACAGAAGAGAAAGATAAGCATTTTTTGCAGTGGAAACAAATGCCTCGTGTTTAAATGTGAGGTCATGTGAATTGAGAAGACAAACAGCATGAAATGGGTCAAAGCAGGAGAGAGAATAGTCAAAATGTCAACGAGTGTATAGAGCAGAGGCCTACTGTACTGTAATAATGACTGACTCATTATTGTGGAGGCGATGAGTCACAATAACGTGGCTGAAGTATGTTGACCAGACCACACACTAGAAAGTGAAGGGACGACGAGGTTTCGGTCCGTCCTGGACCATTCTCAAGTCGATTATCGGGACGGGATTCAAGTGAAGGGACGAAACGTCATCATCCCTTGACTTTCTAGTGTGTGGTCTGGTCAACATTATTGTGGAGGTTAGTATCACTCATCATCACTCTCCCCCATCATTCATTTGCAGTTAAATACAGTATATTATTGTTACATGTTAAAAAACCAGCGTTGAATGTAATGAAACGCCATTTTCTGAGTGAGACCTGGAGGCTCCCCGTAGCTTATCCAGGCTGATATGGAACTACTGTATTAGACTTGGGTATCAGTCAGTGTGAATGGAGTTCTTAGGCCTACCGGGGACCACGAGCCAGAACCTGGCCCCCTCAGAGAGGCACGAGGAGCAATGGCCTATAGAAATGCACGTGTGATTTGGAGCATTCTATGTGTGCCATTGACCTGGTCAGGCACCCAAAAAGGTAAGCATCCCAAAACAAACTCCTATTCTGGTTGAAACCACTGAAACAAGACATAACCCACTGTGACACTGTTCAAATCAATTGCTAATTAGCAATTGCACACAAACAACAAACTCTTATTCAATAATTACATGACACCAGATGGGAGAAGTATTCTTGACAAGTACAAATAGGACTTTTGTAGTGCTGAAGTAACTAAGAACTAAAGTATGTTTTGAGCCTTCATAGAATTACTAACTTTTGGAGGCAGTTTTCATAATCATGAAGTCTCATTTCCAGGACAGATCAGATGTGACTGCCTAGAATACTGATCAAGGACAAAGGCTAAAGATAGAAATTCTCTAGAGTGAGTTAGTAACTGGCCAGAGTTTGCTCTAACATAAATTGCAAAAACTGACTTTTAATTAGCTTTGACTAAATTCCAAGTAGCCCAGAGAGAAATTAACATCTGACAGAAAGAGAACAGGTCATCAAAATGCAAAATTCAGCGAGAGCTGCAAGGGAACGATTAGAACTCAATTGTGAGGAATAGTGCCTAGTGGAATAACAAGCATAAGAAGATCACTGATGAAAATGAGACAAATGCAGAAAACAGAACAGCACCTTGTGAACACCATAGCTGATAGTGAAACAGGATAAAACTGAACCATCTACATCAGTACTGTAGTGAGATCTGTTAGAAAGGAAACTAGGAATAATTGCAATGAGATAAAGTGGAAACTAAAGATTTAAGGTTTGAAGACTAAAGATTTTTTAACATGCCTTATCTAAAAGTTTTGAAAATATCCAAAGCCATGACAAAGGCTTCTCCATATCACAAAGTGAGATGGACCACATATGAGACATGAAAGACCATCAGTAGAATATACAGTACAGTATATATAAAGAAATATCATGACAAATTACAGGAAATTTCAAAACTTTCTCTACTTGTGAGGCCTTGGCTATATATATATAGGGGTATATAAGGGCATAACATCCCTCAAAACATAACAATTAGCACGTTACATTTAATATATAAATAAAAAAATTTGCCAAATTTTATTTTTACCTTTTTCCTCTTCTCCACAGCAGCACATTATAGGATCCAAGTCTGTATGTTGACAGAAGGAATTGCTCTGGGACCCAACAAATTGCCCATGGGGACCAGAGGCATCTCGTAACATCCGTCCCATCATTTTTACCAATCTGAGGAAAACTTGCTAATTACTCCTCTGCTAGATATTAGTACTGTATTATAAATTACTGTCAACTAACTACAAGACATCCAAAAGAGTCTGTATGAGGTTTGTCGAATACAGAGACTGCAGTTACTGTACAAGCTACATATACTTCCCTCACTATGAAAAAGTTTAAAGATTATACTGTACTAATACTGTATAAGTAACTACGTATCTTGTTTTATAGTGTCGTAAGTTTAAGTATTAGCATATTTCTAAGATTATCATTGCATTGTAGCTAGAACATAAAAGAATTCACGAGATACTATCCACTCTGTTACTCTTCTCTAACTTAATGGTAATCAACAATGTTTCCTTTTTACTGTGCTATCAAAAACACTGACACATTACCCATCATTTGACCTGACATACTGAAAGGATGTTTCAAATTCTTCATGATAAATATAGGGATGTGATGGGAAATGATGCTTTAATGCCCATTAAAAAAAATTAAATGAAATCCTAGATTGCTGAAGCACATGACTAACTCAAATGTGCATGAGAGCCACCACACTCTTGCACCTCTAAACAATTGACCTGAGAAATCATGAGCTTCAAGCATACCAAAGCATTGTAGCATGTGAACATTTGCTCATAAAACATACAATATCCACTTAAACATCTAGTTTAAAATTGAGTATAACTTTGGAATGCCTATAATCAGCATAAGGGCAATAATACACCAAGAACTTCATCGAAACCTTGTAGATCTAAGGCAAAATGAAATCGACACCAGTAATTCAATCTATCATACTATCATGCAAGAACAACCACACATGTATGTATCATCCAATAAAATCAGCAGACTCCTAGATGTTACTACTGCTCGACTTAGACCTGGCTATAAGTATCTCGGGAATTTTCATTACCTGCTGATGTAGACCTGACCAAACGTAAACTGTCAACAAAATTATTCACACATCCTCCGTCACTATGTGATGGCGTGCGAAAAGATACACGAATTCAGAGGCAATTCTATAACAAATGTTTCAGAGATGCATAAATACTTCATTCAAAATGGTCTGCTGCCAGAAATCTTGTCCAAATATTCCCAGTTTGCTAACTGTAGATAGTTACTAAGTGATTGTAACCTATCCACCGCTGCCCTCTGGATAGGGGGCGGTTTGCAGGACACCCATATCAATTGTGACACTAGCTCTCCACATATGTCAGTTGCTTAAATTAGAAACTGTACTTGTGGTCGGTCTCAAGCTCATTGTTGATGTGATAACATGTATTGAATTTTGAAATTAGCTCATCAAGACTAACTTGTTTAACTAAATGAATTTTGGGGTTCAGTCCCCAAGCTTATTAAGTGCCTCTGTAACCCTTTCCACTACTTCCCACAGGATGAGTATGGGGTCCACTACCACCCACAGGATAGGTTATCTAATAAATGAACAAAACTCAAGACATCTTGTCGAGCCCAACCCAATAACCTCACACTAGGAGGCGGTGGCACTGTGATCCACCTCCAGGTTACCCCACACTCACTGCTGACCAAGCAGTGCCCCTAGGCGAGGTAACAGTGCCTCTAAACGAGTTAACAGTGCTCCTGGGCGGGGTAACAGTGCCTCTAAACGAGGTAACAGTGCCTCTAGACAAGGTAACAGTGCCTCTGGACGAGGAAACAGTGCCAGGCGACTCACTGTCGTTATTAAGGGCAGCGACGGGACTAGGCAGCACCTGACAACCCGAATTCGGGTAACACACTAGGTGTCAGGGCTGCCCAGGGAGCCTTATTCTAATTATTTACTCTCGCAAATACTTGCAATACTTCCACCCGTATTGTCAATTATACTCTAAATAACAACTATACAAAATTGTATTCAGAGAGTTGTAACAATGTTTTATTCACTCTTTACACAAGAAAGGAAGAAGTGACTACATTCGCCATTGACCTACCTTTACTGTGGGTTAGTTTCTAGGCTACTTAGGCAAGGGTAGACTGGGATAGGGTAGGATAAGTCAGGATAGATTTAAAAAAATATATATAAGTGACGTGGACCAACATATAACTTTTGGCCGTTCTTAAACTTTATATACATGATTGAGAGTGGGACCTTTTATTATTTTAATTTATTTCATGAGAGTAATATACAGTAAACATATATTTTCCCTAAAAATTGTACAGGATATTATTACAGAATTGATGTATAAATATATAGTAGAGCCCACATACTTGCGAAGCTCTTGGATAGTTTAGAAAGTACGAGAAGGTTCGTGAAGGATCCCTGACCGACCTCTCCAGCGTACACAACGTCATTAAACTGATGTACTAAATTGTCACAACATAACCTGAGGACTTTTAAGGGCTTTAAGGGGATTTATACGTTACAAAAAAATGTGATTTGTACTATTCAAGAATACGAGTCTGTAGTATGGCTTTGTACTCACCTAGTTGTGCTTAAGGGGGTTGAGCTTCGGCTCTTTGGTCCCGCCTCTCAACTGTCAACCAACTGGAGGTTCCTGAGCCTACTGGGCTCTATCATATCTACATTTGAAACTGTGTATGGAGTCAGCCTCCACCACAGCTCTGCCTAATACATTCCATCTGAATTTCCAGGGACACATTCTAAATATATCAAAAAAAGTTTCAAAAACTGTGGGCATTCTTTCTAAGATCAGATATTATGTACCACGCCCTGCTCTGGTGACTCTCTATTACTCCTTATCTATCCTTATCTCAACTATGGTATTTGTGCTTGGGGTTCTACTACCCAAAATCACTTACGTCCTCTAATTACCCAACACAAAGCCGCTATTAGAACAATATCCAACTCTGGCCCCAGACATCACTCGGTACCCTACTCAAATCTCTTAATATGTTAGATATTAAGTCACTGCACATTCTCTCATGTGTATTATACATATATAAAACGCTAAACTATAATGCCAATCCTGTTCTTAAAAGCTTCATAGAAGGTTGTAACAGAACCCATGAGCACCACACCAGAAATAAATACAGTTTTGATATTCCTAGAGTACGTCTTAATCAAACTAGAAATGCTCTGCAAATCAAGGGGCCCAGAATGTGGAATGACCTTCCCAACCATGTTAAAGACTGTACCTCTCTCAACCAGTTTAAGATAAAAACTAAACACTACCTAATAAATTCCCTGTAATCTACCTCACTCCTCTATTGTCAACCCATGTCTGTTATTTTCTTTTTTTTCTTTTTTTTTTAATCAACACTGTTTGTCAACCTATTATATTTGTGCTGCTTTTTCAGTCATGTTCCCCCTTTTTTTTTTATCTTTATTTGTATTTGTTCTCAACATCTTTTATTCTTTATGCTCAATTAGTATTAAGTTCTAGATATTAATGTTTTTCTTGCCCGAAACGCATTGCGTAATAGTGGCTTTAGGCATTGTATGTACTAGCTCTATCTATATATCAATCCATTAATGTAACATCACTTGTATGTATATACCTTACCTGAATAAACATCTGAATCTGAATCTGAATCTGAATCTGAATCTGTTAACTACTCTGACACTAAAAACAATTGTCTAATTTCTCTGTGGCTCATTTGGGTACTCAGTTTCCCCTGCGTCCCCATCCGTGCTAAATAGTTCGTTTTTGTGCACCCTGTCAATTCCTCTGAGAATTTTGTAGGTGGTGATCATGTCTTCCCTTACTCTTCTGTCTTCCAGGGACGAGAGGTTTAAATCCCGTCAGTTCTAAATTACGTCTTTTCTTACGGGAAATATGACCATAAGTGAAAACAAATGTGTCATACTTTGTCCAAATTGACATGCAGTTTTAAAACTAGAATGGATATTTAAAATATTATGCATGAGTATATTTTTTAGCGTAATTCAGGGTGATTTCACACATTTGGAAGTTTCAAATTGACTCATTTGATAAAGAAAATGGACCATAATAGAATACGAAGATATCTTGCATTTTACCCAAATTAACCTACAATTTCAGATACACGATGGATATTTAAAATATTATGCTTTGGTGTTTTATGCGTAATTGAAGGTGTTTGGCAATATTTTAAATTTTAAATATAGTCGTTTTTATAAAGAAATTTTACCATAAGGAAAAATGGAGATTTTTCGCATTTGGCCCAAATTGATATGCAATTTGTAAAATACGATGGATATTTAAATAATATACGTGAGTGCGATTTTTAGCATAATTCATGGTGATTACACGTATTTGAAGTTTTAAATTTAATCATTTTATAAGGAAATTTGACCATAAGGGAAAATTAAGATTTGTTTGCATTTTATTCAAATTGACCTTCAAAAATATGATGAATATTTAAATTATTATGCTTGAGTATTATTTTTTAGCGAAATTGAAGTTTATTTGTCGTATTTTATGTTTCAAATTTTGGAATTGGGTTAGGTTAGGTAGGGTGCCCTGACGAGCAAGTCATTTAGTGAGGTTTATATAGCCTCTAATAGGCCTAGAGGCTATTAGAGGCTATATAATAGGCTCTCTAATAGGCCTAGAGGCTATTAGGGAGGGAATTCTGAGGGAAGAGTCTCTAGTCTAGGAACTGTTCCTTCAAGTGTTGACCCATCCATGTCCATAAGTTTATAAGTACACATACTCTTAATATTAATCTCAGAGTATTTGAACTATTAATATGATGCTTACAGTATACATACTTATAATATTAAGTTTAAATGCATACTTTTAATATTAAGAGGACGTTTACCTTTTAATATGCAAGAAGATGTCATTAATATTATTTTATTATTTGTAACATTTTTATTAATATTATATTTGTTTACATTATTCTTATTATTACTTTATAGAGAATGATTGTTGTTTATGGTGCAACATGGGGACACTGCTTGTTATAGGTAGTTATTACTGCCCCCCCCCCCCTTGTTCATCTCTCCTTCCCTCCCTCCTTCTTAGACCCAGCCCCCCCCCCCCCTCACTCTCCCTCCTTCTCAGACCCCTCCACCCTCACTCTCCCTCCTCACACCCCTCCACCCTTACCTTCCCTTCATATCAGGCCTTCCCCTCCCTTCCCCACCTGCCTCAATGAAGTCATCCGCACCATCTGTGCCCGCGTCTCCAAGATACGCAGCCTTTCTTAATATTACCCTCATAGTCCCCCATCACCACAGGCGAACACCCCACACACACCCCACAGCCACTCTTGGCCTCCCAGCAGCAGTGGTCTCATGTAAGAGAGGTCAGCTGTAAATAGTGTGGAGGATGGTTTTTATCTAGTTGTGCTTGCTGGGGTTGAGCTCTGGCTCTTTGGTCCCGCCTCTCAACTGTCAATCAACTGATGTACAGATTCCTGAGGAGAGAGAGAGAGAGAGAGAGAGAGAGAGAGAGAGAGAGAGAGAGAGAGAGAGAGAGAGAGAGAGAGAGAGAGAGAGAGAGAGAGAGAGAGAGATAACTATTTGATGGACAGCACCAGCTGCCCCCCTCCCCCCCACTACTCCCTCCTCCTAGTGGCGTGATGGTGACACACACACACACACACACACACACACACACACACACACACACACACACACACACACACACACACACACACAAGGCCAATAATACAAGAGTACGACAAAGAACCGTTGATGGGATCTACACGCCGGAAGAGTGTGATGCCTCGCTGTAAATACGTGCTTACATTTGATGTATTGTTGCCACCAGTGGCGGCTTGTATATTGTGCACCATCCACTTGGGCTGGACGGTCTCGCTTCATGCTGGTCGGCGTTCAATCCCCGGCCGTCCAAGAGATTACGCACCATTCCTCCCCCCCCCCGTCCCATCCCAATTCCTTATCCTGACCCCTTCCAAGTACTATATAGTCATTATGACTTGGCGCTTTCCCCCCTGATAACTCATTCCTTCCTTGTATATTGTGCACCCCATACTCATCCTGTGAGCGGTAGCGCAAAAAGGATTACAGGGAACAGGTCTTAATCAGACCTCAGCGGATATTTTACATCACAATTCTCTATTAAGAAACACACTCTAATGATAGCAAGTAACTAACTTCTTTAACTCCCACTTGTATTATATTAATTACAGTGGTGCTGCTCAGTTGGTGTCTAACACAGTGTCAACACTGACGGTGAGTGTCTAACACACCGTCAACACTGATGGTGAGTGTCTAACACACCGTCAACACTGACGGTGAGTGTCTAACACACCGTCAACACTGATGGTGAGTGTCTAACACACCGTCAACACTGATGGTGAGTGTCTAACACACCGTCAACACTGACGGTGAGTGTCTAACACACCGTCAACACTGACGGTGAGTGTCTAACACACCGTCAACACTGATGGTGAGTGTCTAACACACCGTCAACACTGATGGTGAGTGTCTAACACACCGTCAACACTGACGGTGAGTGTCTAACACACCGTCAACACTGACGGTGAGTGTCTAACACACCGTCAACACTGATGGTGAGTGTCTAACACACCGTCAACACTGACGGTGAGTGTCTAACACACCGTCAACACTGATGGTGAGTGTCTAACACACCGTCAACACTGACGGTGAGTGTCTAACACACCGTCAACACTGACGGTGAGTGTCTAACACACCGTCAACACTGATGGTGAGTGTCTAACACACCGTCAACACTGACGGTGAGTGTCTAACACACCGTCAACACTGATGGTGAGTGTCTAACACACCGTCAACACTGACGGTGAGTGTCTAACACACCGTCAACACTGACGGTGAGTGTCTAACACACCGTCAACACTGATGGTGAGTGTCTAACACACCG